AGATGCCTCTCAGTCGTCATGCTTAACTTCTTTTCTATTGTAGAAGTAAAAAACATTGTTTGAAAACATTTCCAATGAAGAAATTTCACTTTTCTATGGGAACCATCAGGGACAGTCTCCCACTCAGTGCAAGACAAGGAAGAAGAAAAGAAACATCACTCTGTGTTTGACCGTGAATCAACTGTATGAGTTGTGCCTCATTGGCTACGTCATGTCCTTATCAAGAGAATCCTATCCTAATAATATATTTTTAATTTAACAGTTCTGCATCGGGTTCTGCAGTATTTGGAGCAAGTAACTCAAGTATCCCAATACCTGAACTGCTCTTATTTTAATATTGGGAGCTAAGATCACTTTGCACACTGCTGTGTTTTATAGCCAACAAAAGGTGATACAGATCTAAATTTAATCTTCATGTTTTAGTTCTAACATAAAATGCTAAAAACTAAACCTGACTAAGGGTTAGATTTGATCAAATGCTATTAAACTCCAACTCTATCAAGCGTTACGTTTTGCTCACATACCCTTTTTACTCCTCATACACAAACGTGTGCACGGTGATGCATGTGATCACGTAAGGACTAGGTGTGCTCTGGCAGGACAAGCTGTTCCAGGGGAGGGGCCGAGTGTGGTTGGAGGGGGAAAGGCAGTCAGGTTGCAAACAGGAAGGAGGTCCGATCCAGTTTAGTTTTATCTTTACGAAACCATGAATGTCATCAGTGTATTCCTCCTGGACCTGGTTGTGGAGATAGAGAGATCAGAGCAGATTCTCCCTCTTCAATGCAGCCCTGTGATGAATGGGCCTCCTATCACACTGAGTCAAATCTGTAATCTGGGTTTGAATTTATCTGCAGCCTTTCCCTCAATGTGTCATATAATTCCATACACAAAGACTGATTACCCACAGATTTTCCAGCTTGTAAGGATGTGGTAAGCTGTCCAAACGCATTTAAAATTGTCCCCAAGAGCCAAAATTGTGATGGTGGTGAGGACGTTGCAGCTAAATTGAACTTCCAGGCTGTCGCTAGAAACCCACAAAGTTCCATCCTTAATTATAAATCACGTTTAAGACATTTGAATCTAAAGTCAATATAACCGTTCCCCAATTTAATGTCTTTAGCATCGTACTGTGCTCTGTAAAGTTGTTTGTCTGGACCAAAATTAGATCAAACTCTATGGCAGTGGCTACAATTTGTGTTTTAAAGTATAAAGTGGAATAGCCTTCACATGTTGCGTGCCAGTGTTTGGAGGATTAAGTGTTAAGGGAATAATCCTGATTCACCCCAGAAGACTCCAGTCATCTCCAAACAAGAACAGCTTTATTACAGCTGAGCGACTGGTGCGCTGCTCATCGATGACACTGCCTTTGAACGGGCATGCCTGCGTTTGCAAGTCCGTTTGTGTGTGTGTGGGAGTAGTGGCGTGTTTGCAGGATGTGTGGAAACAAGGGTTCATAAGCAGGTGCCACGTGGCATTGGATGTGCTAAGCCAAGACGAGGGCCGGTGTGTGTTCTCAGCTGTTGGGGAAGGGGGGATGAAGGTGGGGCCGTGAGTGTGTGTGTGTGTGTGTGTGTGTGTGTGTGTGTATGCATGCAGCATTGTGTGTGTGTGTGTATGCATGCAGCATTTCATCTACAGACATTTATGCTCCCCTGGACCTCCCCACTAATCCGGCAAGATCAGAGAGCAGGCGTGCAGTGTGTGTGGGGCAGGGGACACGCGACATACACTCACATGACACATGTTGTCTCACACATTCATATGCTCGCAGTACGAGGCACGCATGTCCTGTCAGCTGTCCGCCACGGTCACATTCACTTACAGTCCTCTTCCTCCTTGTTGAGAAAACTGATCCAGATCCAGAAACCAGTCGGATAATGAAAGTCAAGTCGCCCTCGTACCCACATATCAATCATCCCTCTCACTGATAGGAATGTTGAGTGAATCCCTGTTGCACATATCCCGAGCTCAAACACAGTTATTTTAGGTGTATATCTCCAGTTATCTGTCATGAATGTAAGATAACAAGCTTTTCTAGGTTTGTTTGAGGTTTTTCCATTTGGGGCTTTTTGGTCCAGTCGCGGAGGCTTTTCTTTTTCCTATGATGCACTCGTTTGTCTTGGCTTAAGCGTCAGATGTTTTCAGCTGCTTTAGTTGCAGCAGGAATGTGAACGCCCCAACTTGATAGTGAGTACCTATCTGGGCTATTGTCTAAATATGGCATCTGATTTGCTCGTATTTCTCTGGACCGACTGTCTGTCTCCACACCGCCGGGAGAACATACCACCTGTATGTGATGGGACATTTGACTCTGCCGTATGAAAATGCGCGCGCATGCGTTGACGTTGACTTCAGAGAAGCATAAGTAGGTGATGTTATAACAGATTTCTGTGACTTGTTTGCCTCTGCCATGAAGCTGTCTCTGTGGCAGCGTGGTCGTCGGGAGGTAAGTTGAGTTCAGTGACTCAGTCAGAGGTGAGACACTTCACTCCCCTGTACCTGCAACCTCTCCAACGTCATCAACTGCAACAGTTGAGAAATGTCTTAACCTGAAAAGTAGCACACTCACCACACAGCGAGCACAGGACTGAACAGGATCTGTTTGTTTTGACACATCAATGAACTTGTAGTCATTCATGGCCCTCAGAAGATGGATCCTACTGACTTTGGTAAACCCTGGATTTTCCCCCTTGGTTATCGTCATGTCGAAAATTACATTTGTCCAATATTTTTACGACTAAATACCTGCAAAGTTAATCTTTGTGGTTTGTGCTAATTAGCAAATATTGGCTAAAATGTTAATCTAAGATATTGAACATGGTAAACCTGATGAACATCAACTTGTGAGCATGTTAGCATGTGAAGAATGAATGTTAAATGGAATATGTTCACCTGCTAGTCACCAAAGTTGTTTTACTGTAGTTTGCTGCTGGCAAGGTAGCGCTTTTGACTTGATTTGATTTTGGAGGCTTTTTGTTTATTGCCAAAATATAAAAATAGCTGAAAATCCAAAACAGTGACAAAAACGCTTCATAATTCTCTGTGGCTTCATCACCACGCCTCACCCATTTCACATATGTAGTCATGTGAGCCATTGTTTATATACAAATATTAGTTATGGCCAGTTTTAAAGGGTAATACTGGGTCGTATTTTCATAGATTTGGTGATTATTCCAATCCATAATAACATTGGAATGGTCTGACTGTGTCACGCTTTGTCGTCACCGTGTTCCCAGAGCTCATCAATAACCAATAAACTGTGTCATCATAACTGATATAAATGAGCCAAAATGATTCAAAGTTGTAATAAACTGGAATGATCTTTTAATGCAGTTCTTTTAAAGTAGAACATGTCATGTTCACCACAGTAAACAAGGCCATTCCTGTAGCCTCACTGACTCTTGTCTCTGTTTCTCAGTCTCTTTCTATTTTAAACCTCTCTCTGGTCGGGGGGCTCTGTCTGGGTACAGTGACCCTGGGTGTATGAGAGGAAGGGAGGAGTTGGTGCTGGTGGTGGTAGAGGACAGAGAAGAAAGGGAGAGAGAGAGGAAAAAGAGGAGAAGACCCTGGCTTGTGGAGCTCAGAGCGGGGCTGTTTAATCTCTCCAGGACCGTCAGATGGCTTTGACAGAGCACAGGCACCAATTAGGCTGCAAGATTAGGGGGGCTTTGTACTTCTGAAAAGCTTCTGGATGGACCTGGGTTTATATCTTTTACTGGACTCCTCCCACCCTCCCCATAACCTTATCCCTCCCTCCTCCCCTCCTTCCCTCCCTCCCTCCTTCTGTCCTCTCCCAGCCGTGCGACCTGCTCTTTAAAATCTGCGATTATACCTGGCTAGACATTGAGAGGAGTGGATTAATAAGGCAGCTCGTCAGTGTGGCTTGGCAGGGGAACGCTGCAAAGTGAGTTAACAGGCCAAAGAGGTGGCGAGTCGGATGTTTATTGGGGTCCTGGGTGCCTGCTGGCATGGACATGGAGCCGAATTGCAGGAGTGGGGGAGACTCCTGCTCCAATCTGCAGAATATGACGGTAGAGTACCAGGGATGGGGACAGACGGAGAGTCATTTGAATTGAAATCTAAGTAACTTGCTGGCAACTCTGTTATGTATAGCTGGAGAATGTAGCAGTGAGTATGCGTGTGTGTTATAACAATATAATTACTCAAGACAGGCCTACATAACAGCATATTGTCAGGGGTGCATATCCTCATAGCCTGTCGTCGTTGTACTTGAAACGCTTACATTCCTCTACAAGCTTGCTCCTCAAACCAAACCAGTTGTGCCATACACACACACTCACATGCACAGACACGCTGCTCCTCCTGAGTACATGGAAACAATGACAGGAAGTACATTAGCGGGACCTCCATTGTATCTCCCCATACATCCTCACTTCCTGAGTCGGGTGTGGGTGATGGCGAGGGGGGAGGGGGTGCAGGGTGGAATGAGGAGAAGTAGAAGAGCCCTCTCTGGTGCCACCGGGCCCACTGGTGAGGTGAGAGAGAGAGAGCAATGGGGGGGGGGTCGGATCTGTCTGGGCAGAGACGGAGAGATCCTTAATCCTGCAGCCTTCTGCTGCCTGTCACCCGTCTTGGAAGCCTCCCGGTTGCTGACCTGTGGTCAGTCTCATTGTTTCACCCTTAAGGATACAATTTTGGATTATGTAAGGGTAAGCTGGTCCCAGATCAGCACACAAGGTGAAAAACTAACTTTTAAGTCAATTAGTTGTCATCCCACAGAGGGGGTACAGATGGTGGGAAGGTGGGAGTCACCAAACCTCAGGAATGCCCATAGCTGCCTCAGCGGTCATTTAATTGTGGCAGAAACAATAGTCAGGCAGGGAGCTGTTTATATTAAATGTGTGTGACTGTTTTACCCTTTCCAGCTCGGTCTTTCAAAATGTTATTGTATTTTAATGCAGGGACCTTGTGTCCTTGGCCGTTGACTGACTTTCTCTTGTCCTCCTTTGCCCTCTGTATCTCCCTGTGTCTGCTTTTAGGTTTGCCACCACCCGGACTGCCTAGACCTGAATAACAAAAGCCCCCTTCACCTGTGTGAGTCATGTGACTCACGCTGCCATTCAGAGAACACAGACAACATGCACTTTGACCGGCACCCCCGATTTGACTTACAACCTCAAGGTAAACTTGGAGTATTTCTTTATTTGGTGTTCTCCCTTTTACAGTGATGTCATGCGCATTGCCTCATTACAGGATTACACTAAATAAATAAATAAATATAAAGGACAAGGTTTTATTGTTGTCTAAATAAGGCAAAACATGTAAAACATCTTTCTTTACCATATATTACTTGAGTTTATGGTTTCTGTAATTATTCTATATATGTGTGAAAAATTAACAAGAGTAATTAAAGTCTCATTCTCGACTGTTATTAAAGGGTTGGTCCATCCAAATAACTTATATTCTTAAATTATCCTGATTTTCACATCATTTCGTTCAACCTAACATTATGTCGAAGTAGCGATTAACTTTACATTTTCCTGCACAAACAATGACATTTTCACAGTTTAGGAGTTGTTTAAGTTACTTACAGCAACCTGTACAGCTGTATTGATTTCATCCACGTTTTTAGCCATTTTTGTGACTATTTTTACTATTTCTATTTCTGTCTCTATTGGATATATATAACTATATATAGGAAGCAGGATAGCTGTAGTCCACTTAGAGGAGGTCCTGCTATTGTGTCTGCTGGTTTACTGACTCTGTTACTGGGGACACTCGATGGAACTGAGCCATCGTTACTGTTATTAAGTCCACCTGTGTTTTTCGAGCTTCAAGTCAAAATGTCTGCTGGGCAACCAGTCCATTTTAGAGGTCTCGAACAAGGCCGGTGCTAACTAGCCATATGCAGAGTATTTTAGATGTTTTGACCCTGGTGATATCCATCTAGGAGATTTTTGCCTTCAACCCAACACAGTGGAGATACATTTAATTTCATTTAGAGCATAAAAGTTTGCCATATTGGCCCTTATCAGCTACTGTTTACAGTGTACCCATTGATGTACAGACAACTGGTACTGGATTACTTTGATCACGATCAACTTCTGGTCCAGAGTAACAAAGACACTGATTCTGGAAAGAGGGAAATCTCAGAGACGAATATATCAGGACAAATTAAAGCAAAACTATCATCATCAAACATGGTTCGATACCACAAGAGAGGCAGGGGAGAAAATCTGTCTCTTTTTTTAAATTTAAAGTTTGATATTGTCTTAGTTGTGATCCTACAGAAGGAATGACTGCTGTGTTTTTTTGACCTTTAGCCTCCATCCTGGCTCGGAACGTGTCCACACGCTCCTGTCCCCCGCGCACCAGCCCCCCCTCGGACCTAGAGGAAGAGGATGAGGGGAGCAGTGACCGCGGGTCGGTAACCCCTCCGTTATATCATGCTAGTGTTCATGTATTCTTGCATGTCTGTGGAGCTCTTGTCTTTTCACACTGGAGGATAAGTTGAAGCCATGAAATGTGTGTCTGCTGACAGAGATTTCGATCACTTCTTTCTGAGTCTCCATGGTCACATTAAACGGGCCGTTTTTCATGTTGGCTTCCTTTGAGGAAGGGCTATACAAAAGGTATGATAATGTGTATGTAACTGTTTTGCAGGGAGCGTAAAACAGGGGGGATGAAGTTGGTGAAAAAGAAGCCACGGAGACGACACACTGATGTAAGTAATCATACAGACACATGCGCTGCAGTGTGCTACATAAAAAGCCCCCCCTCCCTCTATGAAACCACAGTTTTATTTCTGTTCCTGGAAAGAGTCTACAGCTTCATCGCCTGAGAGGCTTTACGAGATTTTACTTTTTTGGGGAGAACTGGGTTTGTCTCTTGTTTTTCTGAGTTATTTGTAGAAGCATGTGTATGTTACAAGAAGAGAGTTGCGCAATACGAAGCAGACTCCATTATTCTCTGCAACAATGATATAACATAATGGTATCTCCCAGGCTGCTCTTTGTCTTAGTGTAGTGAGAAGGAGCCCCCCTGTGGATCTGCTAAGAGCTCATACAGCACGAGCGTGGGGCGGGCTAGCAGAGCTGCAGCCCCACCTGTGTAAACTAACAGTGTGTCTGTTCCCCCTACAGGACCCCAGTAAGGAGTGCTTCAGCCTTAAGTTTGATCTCAACGTGGACATAAACACAGAAATTGTACCAGCAATGAAAAAGAAAACCTTGAGGTAAGAGGAGAGGAAGAGCGGCATCACAGAATGTATTGCTTGTTTGATATGAACCATAATTAACAGCTTCTTGTTTGTATCTGTGTTACCAGAGAGGTTTTAGCTCCAGTGTTTGAGAGGAACGGCATTGAGCTGTCCCGGGTCGACTTGTTCCTGGATCAGTCCAACACGCCGCTGTCCCTCAACTTTGAGGCCTACCGTTTTGGAGGGCACTACCTCAAAGTCAAAGGTAAAAAACACCACGACCCAATGACGAATTTTAGCTCAGAATCAAACCCACCTAGCAATGATGCCCTATCGTCTGTCTGCTTGTGACCCTCTCTTAGGCGTTGAACAATAAGATTGCATTTGAATGCTCTGAGCTTTTGCACTGGCAAAATGAAAGAAAAGTGACACAGCAGAAAATTACAATATGTATTTTGAGGCGTTCCTGCTTGAAGGCACAAAATATGGGAGGAAGGGAGGATCTAGATTAGAAATTCAAGCTTGATTAGTCACTGAAGACTTCCCACAGACGAAACTACGTCTGAAATGTCGTCCGATGTGAGATGTGAGACTTCAGACCAGTTAAAAGGTTTCACATAAAAATCTCCCAGATTAACTTCTGAACTCATCCAGCCACTGTTCTTTTTACTGAGGTGACAGCATTCCCTCACTACATATACAGCTACCAAGAGTGAGCTCACAGTTAATAACCAATATGTCAAGTGCAGCAGCAGAAAACACGTTCTTTTGCACTCCGTTACTTTCCAGACATAATCAACATCTGTCAAAACATCCCAGCATCAGATCTCATTTAGCTGCATGTTATGCAAATCAGATGGACTGCAGCTGCACTCATTTACATTTTCAGTCTTAGTAAAGATTTTGGCGGTGTAAAATCATTATTACAATTACACATTGGGTATCTACTAGATTAGGTAGTAGATATGCCCAATTGTCTTTTTCCTGTAAATCACCCGTTGTGATCACTTTTTGCATCACAAATGTAATTTTCACTGAAAAAAATCCTGATGATGTGATTTGAATTTGTTGGGGTCTGTACCAAAGAAATTTTTTCTCTTACATCCAAGGTTTGTAGGCCAGAACTATCTCCTCAGAACTACAGTATTTCATTATCATGCTGTTTTGTTGCAACTTTTTCCTTTAACAAAAAACTGCAGCTTCTGTGATTTGGATATTGCACTTGAAATTTCCATAATATTTCGATTAATTGTGCAGCTCTAATTACCACTGTTATTTAATGTCATTAAAAATTACAACACTGTTTGTAGCGGTTGGATGATATTCAGTCATAATTATCACTCAGTTTTTGATCATTATGAAAGGACCATTGACAAACTTGTAAAATATATTGTAATACCAACAATAGAACGTGTTGATCTTTGACTTTCATTATTCTATTAAGTCTCATACGTTGCAGTCATGGTTTATTTTAGACGTCACACTATTCTTATCTGTGTGCCTTTAACAATGACTAAGCAGGACAGATGGCGTAGGCCAGTTTCCTCTCACACCCGTGTTTCTGACTAGGAGGAAAAAGGAGTGGACTGTATCCTTTAAAAGTGATCAAACCTACAAGGGAAAAAAACCTTCACCGTTCTGCTCAATCTTGTTCCAGAAGTGTCATTAAGGGCCCCTTGAATCTTAATAACTCTGCAGCAGTTTGATGACTCTGCCAGCTTTCTTTCCCTTGATGCCTCAGTGGAAACTGGCAATGGTGCCTCTTCCCTACGACCACTGCAGTTACACTTGTTGCAGTCTCTCGATCAAAAGCCCGTTTAATCCTTCCATAAAAGAGATCCTATGCCATGACTAATTGCTATTCTTTTGAAATTGTCACCGTCCCGACTCGCACCTCTTGACCGCAGTCTGGAGTTACACATATAGTCTGGAACACAGGGGTCGGGGGCAAACAGTCCACAGCTGTTTAATCACGTGGTTGGAAGGTTAAAATGGTTTTCGTAAAGAATGCGACTCGATATTGTTCCGCTTTTTTTTGTTTGTTTTTATACTATTGCAATCAAATCTCTATTTTTCCTAAGCTTTAACACATATTAAAGTGGCTATAATCAGTATTTTTATATTAACAATGGATCCCATAACATTACATGGAGCCTTTCTTGTTTCGGTTCACTCTCATCGCTCTCATAGCTTTGTTCTTGTGTGCAGCAGGCAGACAAAGTTAGCAACTAGCTGGTGAACATAGTATATAGATATAGATCAATAAAAAAAATAAAAAAACACTAAGTTAAAATACGATGAATATTGGACCTTAATTCACCAAACCTGACTCAGAATGAATGCTTATGTTGCTTTGTGTCTGCTGGATGTTTTATTGGACAACTGCTACAAGTATAACAAGTTTGCCAAATTAACTTAAAAGTTAAAGATAATTCAGTTGTCCCGAAGTGACCGTTACAAGTTTAATTTAAGTGCAAATTTTTCCTGCTTTGTTGGTATCCCTTCTATGATGTTTACGAGGGCCTGTTAACGGATTTAACTTCAAGAAAAAACAATGAGCCTAATACTTTGGGTGTGGTGCTCAGTTCAAAATGACTCAAAACTGAAAAAAAGACTGGACTTGAAAAGAAAGCACATTGACCTCAGTGGCTTCCTCTGCATTGGAAAAATAAACATATAGTGATCTAAGGGCTGTGCAGGTTTTTAGTTTTACAGGATTCCCTTTCCCAGACGGCTCAACCACTTGTTTTGTTTTCATTTAGCACGGCTGGGTGATGAGCTGAAGGTGGAGCAGAGTGTGAAGGACCTGCGCTCGCTCAGTCTGCCCAACATGAAGGCCTCTGCATGCCAGAGCCCCTACATCCTCGCCCCGGCCAGCGAGAAGGTGGAGCATGGATCTCTGGGGCGCAAAGAAAGCGTTGATCTGTTGGTGAGTTGCATAGGACCGAACGGGACCGTAGTTTCATCTCACGGTGGTTACATTTCATGTGACACTCCAGCTCATAATAATAATACGAAACTGTCTCTCAGACTCATCAAACCAAAATACACCACCCCTTTAAACCAGACAGACACACCCAGTGACTCTTACTGCTTCGCCACACCCTTTACTATTTTCCATAACTTCACCTTTTCTCCCAGCAGTCCCATGATGCCCTGAGACAGCGCAATATCTCATGGTAATCCCATCATGACCTCATCGTATTACATTACCTTTATCTGCTCAGCAGAACCCTGGGAATGTATTTTTGGATTTCCGCTTCAGTCTACCGGTTGGGTGTTTGTCTTTGTGTGTGCACACTCGTGTATGTGCATGCCAGCCGGCTCGGTGCTGCCGACTGATCCCTTGAGTCCCATATGATGATGAGTTCACTCTGGAACACTCTGTGCCACTTCAGCACTTCCTGCAGCTACAGGAAGTGGTTTGTTACTGATGAGAGATGCTGGGAGGGTGACTGAGGCCTGCAGGATCCTGATCCACTTGGCTGCCAAACATGGAGCATTAAAATAGGGCAGACAGTCATGAGGTTCATGTTGTTGCATATGCTGTAGCCACTCTGTGACATGGGAGTTCTTAAGGGTGGTGAAGGTGACTTTCAGCATGCCACAGACACATTGACCATTCTTTAGCCCTAGAGCTGCAACCAACAGTTATTTTTATGATCGTTTTCTTTCATTTCGATCTATTGCTTTTTTTTTAAAATGGCACTAAATGGTGAAAAACATTTCCAAGAGCCCAAGGTGACAAATTGAATGTGTGTCAATCTTTGCATTCTCATATAGCGCATATTCAGTTTACACTAATAACGGCATCAGATTAACTACCCGAAATATTAATTATATGAAACAATGGGACCCTGATTTCAGAGAAAAGTATGCTTCTCTTTAACTGTCGATTGTGTGGTTGAAGTGACCGTTGCTAGGAGATTTCATCAGCTGTAGCTAGCTAGCTAATTAAGCTAATGTTAGCTCAGTTAGATGGTTGGAAACGCTGTCTCCTGCTGACTTACTAATGTCTCCTGCTAACTGATTTTCGTTAATGGCTACACATATGATATTGTGCTAGGGGACTGAAGCTAAAGCTAACATGTCCCCATTCGAAGTAACCTTAGCCTTAGCAGGATTGTTCCTGTATTGGCAGTGTAGAGCTAGTCAGGCCTATATGATAAGGAAAAATGTAACATAACTTGAATAAAGGGCAGGACAGAGCCAGTTATGTTAACCTAAACTCTTAAAGTATGCTCAAACACAGTGGGGAAATACTTCAGAGTGGATGTGTTAGTCATGAATGGGGCCTTTTTTTAAACAAAGGCCTAGTTATGGTTGCTAACCTATGATTGGACTTTCCCTGTTTGGGAGAGAAAAGTCAAACGACATTCAATTTACAGAGATATGGAACTTCTAATTCAAGATGATGGAACTGGGAAATGTTTGATATTTTGCTTATTAAATCAGTTATATGAGAATTTTTGTCAATTAATATAGTTCTTTCAGCTCTGTTTACAACAGTACAGGTTTGCATGCTCGCTGGCTTGGCTTACTCTACAACGGTAAAACAATTCAGCAGCTGAATATTCGACAAACAATATCACTGAAAAATCAACAACTGAAGCAGCTTCCTCCACAGACAGTACTGAACAAAGTGGTTGCTCAGCAACATCTGCTCCAATAGGAGCAGTGATTCTAGTCCGGCCCAATAATATTTACATGAAGAGTTGCACTGTCACTGCTTTGTATTAATGCCAGATGTTTAACAGTTGCTCAAAGTTGAATCATCATATTACTGTCATCCATGTGCCCTCTAGTAGCATGAGTGCATTTCCTGTTAGGGAGCACAAAGAGACTGATACTACCGCTTTGGTAGGAAATATGCAGTAAAAAGCAGTATTGATACTTTTTTTTGTTAAAAGCAGCTTTAGTACTTTCTCGTAAAAAAGAGAAATATGTAATGTCTACATACCCTGTAGCATTAGTGATAAACTGCACTGTGCTGGAGTTTTCATTGTGTCACTGCAGACCTCAAAGTGTATTCTCATTTTAGGCGTTTCGTCAGGTTTAAGCACTTAGCTTGTGAGCTGCCCCTATTAAGTGCTTGAAACAAGTCATTGGTTGTTAAACTCCCTCGAGGCAAGTCTAGACCCACTTACAGGTGAGTTCGATGGTGTGTGTGTGTGTGTGTGTGTGTGTGTGTGTGAATGTGCACACACTGTAAACAGATGAGTCTTGATGTCATCGTTGCTTTAGGCGGGGAAACAGGTAGTGGCTCGGTTGAAGCATTTTAAAGCCATCTGTGGCGATAAGTCACTAAGGTTAGTCATCCGGCCGAGACATAAACACTGGAGGTTGCTGAGGAAAGCACAGTTTTAGTCATACAGTGTGTGTGAGCTCCTTTTGCTGGGTGGAATTGCTGTATTTTCTTTTCTTTGTGACATCAAGCTACTGACAGTGTAATTCCTTTCAGAGATTGTTGCCAGAGAATTTCAAAGTCCCCACACTGCAGGTAATGGCTTGTCAGTTTTATTGGCTGTGAATGTGGAAAGAGTGATGTGAGAGATAAAATCAACTGTAGTGCAAGGCCTCAGGGGGGCAGTAATGAGCTGCTGCTGATAGTCTGATGAAAGCTGGTGCATCTGTTTGATATCTGGCAAACACACTGAGCCTCTGACTGTTAGTGTTGTTGGATTAATAGATAAGTCAAACAGAAAATTCATTTGGAACAACTTTGATTATTCGATTAATCATTTAAATCATTTTTTTTCATGTTTTTGTGTTTGTAAAAGCAGGATTTTGTGACATTGGAAGCCAATTGTGGTCCAGTATGCAACTTACTCAAGTGTTTTGTAGAAGTGCCCATTCGTCTGGAATGAACTTTTTAGTGAAGTAAGAGACATCTTGCGTCCAATTTTTGTATATAATTATATATTCTGGATTTTTCAGTGAGGGAGAAGGAGTGTTGTAAGTGTTTTTTAACGAGCTGTTTGACCTTTTTTGTGGAAAAATCACACAAAGCACCAATTATTACTCACAGTAGAGTATTTTTATTTCTCTTAAAATCTGTTTGGTAAGGATAATCAAATAAATCACTGTCTCCAGCTCCTTTAAATGTCAGTATTCATAGTCTTTTATGATAGTAAATATATATGTGAACTACTAATATATTTGAGTTTTTGACTGGTGGTCAGGCAAAAACAAGCATATGTCAACTTGGACTCTTGGAAAATGGCACTATGTTCTGATATTTATAGACCAAATGATAAATTGGTTCATATAGAAAATATTTAGCAGACCAATCAAAAATTTAAATAATCATGAGCTGCAGCCCTACATTTCTAATGTCTCTGTCTTTGTGAATTTATTTGGTAAGAATGGCTCATAAATTATTTAAATAGTGGCCTCTTGCCATAGAACTCAAGCCCATTGAAGTCTATTAATACTTTTTGTCTTTAACAGACTCAACAGCAAAAACCCTGTGATCCATTTTGGGTTCCGGCCCATATTTTATGAAAGCTGCTCAGAGGACAAAAGCTCTACTCGGACACGTCTTTGAGTTTCTATGGCAGCAGCTTTGGCACTCACCATAAAACACAGGCGTGCCTGCTTTTTATGGAATCAAGAGCTTTGCTCAAAGAAGTTCAGATATTTGCCTAGTGACCGGATTCACGGCCTGGCATGGCAGCGGCTTGTGCCAGGCTTCAGAGGAAATGCAGCCAAGTCCTGTCCTTTTCTGTACAGAGTTACTCTTTTGTTTCAATGAGGTATTTCAAGTTTATTATTGCGTGCATGCTACATTTTATAGGCTCTGGCAGGATTACGATACGCTGCAGAGAGCTTTGATGATCCAGATTGATTATTTTACAACGGGGAGCCTCGGCCAAGCTTTCTGATTGGTCGAAGACGCATTCCAACCTCGCTGATAGTTCCCAACCTGTCTGTGCCTCACACTTATTGCACCGGTCGTAAAAAATACATCCTTTCACACACTTACAATATCAGCAGTGTATCCAATCACCTTTGATATTGACCTAAAATAAGTTAAACTTTTAACCTGTGCAATTAGAAAAAACACACATTTATAACAGTGAAGAAAAATTCTGCACATTACATTTCATTTCATTTTATGTTAAGTGAATGATTCATTCAGTAATCATGTTTTGCTGCAGGGTTAATGCGACCAGCTGCAGTCACATAACAACAAAACTAAAACTAAATCTAAAAGTTGGGATCCCCCTTCTGTTTGGCATGTCGAGGTTACTGATCGTCAGGGTCAGGGTCAGGGTCAGGATGTTTTGGTCTATCTGCAACGCATTATGACGTCAGATTGGAAAAACCAAACTAAACCCTTAGAAAATGTTGACCATGCTTTTTACAGTAACACAACAGCTTCTGGACACAAAGCGTTCAGGCACTCGCTAGCCTTTCCTTTTCCTAAGAACTGAAACTGCAACTTTTACTGTGGTCATAAAGATAAGTCAACCGTCAGGGACCTTGTGATTTTCAGTAAGCATGTACAGTACATTGATCCTCGCTCTCTGTCACTTGGCCCTTCTTATATAACACGGGACCATCAGTTGCCATAGCACACTGAATACAACACTCTGCCGCTCTGTCACACTTACTGTCTCTTAGTCAGTTTAAATACATAAAACCCATGTAACTGGGTAATGTGTATTCACTTAGAGTGAGATTATTTCATCCAGAGATTGCAAATCACATTGGCCAGGATGACATTGCAGTTTGCAGTTGGATGGTTTTGACTTTCCCAGGGAGTTAATGTCAAGTAATGGATCCTCCATATGTGTGTCAGTGCTCAGTCTTCCCATAATGCACTCTACCTCTATATACTCAGTTCGAAGGCAGGGAATCAGACCTCAGTACTGAAATGTGTCTTTAACACAGAGTTTCTAAAATGTTTATGCACCAAAAGCTGCCGTTGGATTTCTCGTTGATCAGATTCATATCCACCTATCTTTAAATCAAAACATTGCAGAGTTTATTTAACCAAAATGCTCTTGAGTTTAGACAGCATTTAATATTTGATGAATTAGGCTTTTTAAAAAAACAACAACTCTAATGTTGAAAAATACTATCTTTGTTGCTATTTCGATAATTGATTAATCAGTATTTTTCAAGAAAAAATGCCAAACATTCTCCTG